AAGGGGCCCTACAGTCATTTTTTAGTCGAAAGCCACCTTAAGTAGGGAACTCCACGGAGATTCGTTTGGCTGTGTCTTACATGCAGTATCCATGAGTATGAGTACTTTTGCACACCAGAAAACGCATGCATACTGTGGTGCACATGTCAAGTAGCGACAATAACAAAAAAATGTAAACAATACTTACTTGACTAAAAATTACTGTAGGGCCCCTTTAAAAAAAAATATTTCCAACCATCAAGTGAGAAAAAAAAAATTTCTTCTATAGGTGTACAAAAAAAATATTGCCTCTTAGAAAATCCCCCCCCCCCCCATCACTTTTCTAATGGTCCGTCCCTTACAAAGTGCAAACCTCATCAAGATTTGAACCGTTTTAAAGTTGATGGGGAGTTGATGAGAGTTGGCAGTCAAACACTAGCAAGAGTTGCAACTCTCGATCACCAACTCTCATCCTCGTCTGACCAAACTTTATGTGTTTGGGGGAGGGATGATAAATACAACCTCTGTTTCTCAAGGACGTCCTATTAATTGGACACTTTAATATTGATTTTCAATAATTGCTACATGCAGCTTCATGAATGCACCCAGTTATTTATAAGTAGGCTGTATATCTACAGATACTTGTACTGCAAAACTGGTTAGGGGTGGGTAATTTTAAGGGTTATATAAGCATTATGTTGCAACTATACTGCATATTAATGTGCTTACAGGAACCAAAGAGAATCATTCTTGGGCAAACAGAGGTGTTCCGAAGAAAAAATGGTATTATACGTCAAGTACAATCAAATGATGAAGCACATTACATACCATTGCTTGAAAGCCTCAAAAATCTATTGAGTGATGAATTCATTCTTAATGAGGTAGTTGAAAACAATTAAAAGACATTGGGTCGTTCCAGAAAAGATCCATACTTTCCCCATGGAGGAAATTTCTGCCGTCTGGAGGGGGAGGGGAGAAAAAATTGTTTCTGAGAATAGTAAATGTATTAATTAGGACATCCGAAGGGGGTAGTGGGATTAACTTCCTATATCCTCCATGGGGGTGGTATGCATGTTTTCTGGAATGACCCGTTGCGCTAAAGTATACTGTAGTAAAGTATTCATTTGGTATTTTTGTGTTGCTTTCATAAAAGTAGCTGCAAAATGCTAATTTGTAGTGAACTCATATACTTAAACTTAGTTGGTAACCTTTATGACCTGATGTACTTTGTATATTATATGTATATTATTATTGTATATAGCAAGACGTAGAAAATTCGATCATATTACCCCTGTTATGAAAGAGCTGCACTGGCTTCCCGTTAGCCAATGTATGATTTACAACATACTTCTCATCACTTACAAGGCTATAAACGGTCTCGCACCAAGTTATATTGGGGATATGCTACAGCAGCTCAAATCAACAATGAATCTACTTTCATTGATGAAAGGATTTCTCTCAGTACCACCCATAAAGTTGGTCAACTATGGTCAAAGATCATTTTCATATGCCGTGCCAAAACTATGGAATGAACTTCCAGATTCAGTATGCCATAGTGGATCCATATCTACTTTTAAAACAAAATTGAAGACATATTTATTTAGAAATTTCTATAAGTAATTGAACACTGTACAAGTCTGTAGTTTTGCCAATTTTAAATATTATTTGTTGCATCTAACTATTTAACTGACTTTTTTATCTAATTGACTTTTTTACTCTTATATGGTAAAGGTAAATATACAAAATTTTAAAAGGATTGTTGTAAATAGTGCTAAAATTTTAAAATTTTCTAAATATTGTAAAGCGCCATTGAGCTGTGGGAAATGGCACTATAGAAATACATGTTATTATTATTATTATTCAAGATTGAGAGTCCTCACATAAGCACAGATGGATTAATTAAAGATTATTGTGATGGTGAAAACTACAAGACACATCCTCTCTTTTCATTGAAACCGACAGCCTTGCAGATTATGCTTTATTATGATGACTTGGAGACATGTAATGTTCTTGGATCCAGAGTAAATAAACACAAACTAGGTACTGTAATCTTTCTATCTATCTAGTAAGTATCTTTGTCCGTCTGTCTGTCTAATTTCTATTTTTACATTTGTCTGCTTATAGTTATTAAAATCAGGCACCCTTGCACATTAGAAAAATAACTGTTTGAAAATAGTTTACTTTTGTACAGAGTGTATGAAAAAGTACAAACTTTTTCATACACCCTGCATAAATTATGCTTTGTACACTACATAATAAAATACTGTTGTATAATTTTGAGCTACTGTGTAATATTTCAGGAGCATTTTACTACACATTGGGCAACGTCCGGCCATTATACAGATCATCTTTAAAGTCAATCCAGCTCCTCTGTTTATGCAAGACTTTGTACATCAAGAAGTATGGGATTGATGCAGTTCTGCAGCCATTTATGGTTGATTTAAGAAAACTTGAACAGGTGATTATGTAATGTAGTGTTTCCAGTCTTGCTAACATATGCATGCTTGCAATTAAGATTATAATTGCATGGGAATATCTGGAATAGATTTCCAAGATCATGACAATTTTGCCATTATATGATATACTGTCAATGACATTAAAGGTCCTCCTCAGGATGAATGATAATTTTATAAATATGACCATTCCAATTAAGGTCATTCAGGTAATAATGTTTAAGTGCCCTCTATATACAGCTGTGAATCTTTTTGATTATTATATTGCATATTAATTATTCCACATGAATAAGATATGAATAAGATATGTTTATAATTATACTTCTTTTTGTGTCTAGGACACAGGCCATTCTCTTGTTGTGAATGGACAGCAGAGAACCATTCATGGAAGTATAGCCTATACATCAGCTGATAACCTTGGTGCACAAGCCTTGGGTGGGTTCAAAGAGAGCTGTAGTGCTCACCGGCCATGTCGATACTGCCTTGGCACTCTGGATGAAATGAAGTCTAAGGTATAAACTGTACGAAAGGCTAATGATGCTGATAACTTTATTTGCAGGATGTCCACCAATGATAAAATCTAAAGTATATACTATGCCAAAATTTTTCTATATACATGTTGTCAAAGTTCTCTGTTCACTTTTACGCTCTCTATTGGTATGTGCATCAATACAGTGGCGTAGCCAGACCTTCATTTTTATTTATTTATTTTTTTTTGGGGGGGGGGGTGAAGCGAACGTGTGAGACATCTACGGGGTCCAGGGGCATGAACCCCCGGGAAAATTTTGGGATCTAGAATCCCTGAAAATATATGCGATTTCAAGCATTTTGGGGGTGAAATCTTGCAGAATTCCGAAGATTATAAAGTACATCGAAGACATAAAGTTTCCCAGACATTTCCAATTTTCTACTCGGAATTAAATAAATTGGAAAAGTCGCCTTGAAAAACAGGAGGAGCCGGTCAGCGTCACCTTATTTCCCCTCTGTGATGCTGGGGGAAGAAAATCCCAATGTGATTTTGAACAGAAATGTTGCATTTAAATCATTCTAGGTTCTATGAGACAGAATTTCCGCATTGTCAAAATTGCGTTGCTTTTTTATGCGATACAGGATAAGTCTGAGAAGAATATTCATGCTATGATAATGCATACATGTAAATCTAAACTAAATCTATTCTTCTTGGAACCATATATCTACAACTGCTTTAACGCGAGATTTTACAAATCAAGTTCCTCCAGTATATCTTCGTTTTCCTCAGTCGAGGCGTACTTAATCAGTTTCAGCTTCAAGGATGTAACGTGTAACCCCCCCCCCCAATTTCTCTACGGATTTAGCCTTTTTCAGATAATTTTTTTTGCGATTGGGTGGGCCCCCCTGGCTACGCCACTGCATCAATAAGGATTTTGATTACCTACATGTAGAAGGTCTGTCCAAATAGGTCAATTATGCAGCTTACAGGCAATTCAGTTATCCACCACCCACATATACCTGGTAGGTTGGGATAAGTTATTACATGCCAGAGGCATGTATGGGCCTTTGGACTATGTAACTTTGATTTCAATCTAAACTTCATAAAGGAAGTTATTGATATGTGTTTATTAATACGAATTTTGTAATATTGTATGGTTACCGTATGCAAAATATCAAGTTGGTAAAAGCTTTGTCTACTTTTAATGCTATTATCTCATACCCCTCATTTCCTCAACCTCGATAATTCCACACAGTATATCACAAAAACCTCATAAAATAATAATTACAATATATAAATATATTTATGTACCAATGTTTTATTGATTTTTTTTAAACAAAAGTCAAAGAAGTTGCAAGACTGGTTCTTGCAGAAAGTGCATGAAAATATTATATGCATACGACCCCTTCTTCTATGATGTAAAAATCCTAATGTTGTTTGTTTTCTTAATCTTTAATTGCAGTTTCATGAGAACGACTTTGTTTTGAGAACAAAAGATGGCCATGATAAGCAATGTGATGAAGTTTTGACACATGGAGAACACTTCAGTAAAACATATGGCATTAATCGCAAACCAGTTCTTAACGAAAGCAGATATTACCATGTTATTGGAGGTCTACCAGCAGACATTATGCATGACATATTGGAGGGAGTTTTGCAGTATGAAGTCAAGGAACTGTTAAAACATTATATATAAGTAGAACATCTTTTTACACTAGAACATCTCAACCATCAAATTGCCAGCTATGATTTTGGTTATTATAATGAAAAGAACAGGCCATCTCAAATTACTGAATTGAAGTTATCATCAGCCGATAACAGTTTAAGGCAACACGGTAAGAGTTAACCAGTTACCTTGTGAAGCTCTATGGTTGAATGAGACTTATTTAACTATCTAGCATCAGCTAATTGTATTTACTTTTAGGGTATAGCACTGTAGGCAACTTATATTTAATATATATTCATTTATACATATACATATATATATTTCTATTGTTCTAGCTGTGCAGATGTGGTGCTTGGGAATCCATTTGCCTCTAATGATTGGTGATATGATTCCAACTGATGATGCTCACTGGAACCTTTTCATAAAATTACTTGAGATAATGTCTATATGTTTTTCGCCAACAATATCTGCAGATCAAATGGCGTACCTGCAAATCTTGATCCAGGATCATCACATGGAATTCTGCAGACTTTATCCAGAATGCTCGGTCATACCAAAGATGCATTTCATGATTCACATGCCTACTCTAATGCTCCGGTATGTTGCACATTTTTACTCTCCTCAATTCGATCATACAACAACCTGTAATTAAGTCAGAATATTAAGAATTAAGGTCTGGCATGTTCAAAATTCAACAAGCGGCGACTTGCGTGTGCTATTATTTGCGTTGGTAATACACAGTCAACTAAAATCCATGCTACCATCAATCGTGTGTTAAATATGTGGTAGCCTTATGCCAAGTACCTTTATGTTTCAGTCATGGTCCTCTTCTTCGAGCTTGGTGCATGCGTTATGAGGCTAAACATCATTACTTTAAACACCTATCGACGGTCATTGGAAATTACAAGAACCTCTCCTACACCTTGGCAATGCGTCATCAACACTGGCTCTGTTACATGCAACAGACAGGCAATCATGAATCCTCATTCCTTGAAAAAGGATTAGAAATACATTCAGGTAGAAATTTGATTCATACACATATATACCAGCAGCAGTGAATATACTGTACTCAAGTGAGTGCTGTATTTATTTATTATTAATTTTGTAAAAATAATTTAAAGTGCTTCTGTTGTTTTCAAAACAGGTTCCAAAGTTTTTGCTGGTGATCTTCGATATTTTAACGAATTGCATCAAAAAGTTGACCAGATAAATGAAATAACTGAAATCACAAAGTAAGTTTATTGCACAGGAATGAAGCTCATGACGTGCTTAATTTATATGATTATTGTATGTACTCAATTAGACTAATTATAATCAATACAAATTTCCCACCTGCCCTATCTCCTGGGTTCGATTTCATCATGGAGGTGTGACTGCAATGCATGTAACTACATTAAATGATCACTGTATTCTTTAAAGGCCAAAATCGATTTCAGTACATGGAACCACATACAAAGTTGGATGTGTGATGTGGGTTGGGCTTGATGAGGAAGAGATGCCATCCTTTGCACTGGTGAAAGATATCTGTGTGGTAGAAACCAACTTAAGTGGTATATGGTTTGTAACTGAGATATTGCATACAGCAGCATTTAGCAAGCACTTCAATGCATATGAAGTAAATAACACCATAAATTTAAGTGTTATAAAACAACAAGAGCTTGTATATCCATTGCCACTCCATATCATCACAATCAGGGACCAAGAAGATGAAAAGCATTTTGTTTGCCCGAAGTACCAGATTCCAAGTGTCTAAGTTGCAGATGGCCATATGGATGTCTTCAGATTTAGTTTTTAGGGGAGGGGATTAATAAGATTGAGGACATACAGGTATGACCTTTTTTGTGGTAAGCCATTGGTGGTAATCAGGGGTGGAAAAAGTATCGGACCACGGGACCATTGGTCCCAGAAAATTTTTTAAGTTCCCAGAAAATATTTTCACAAGAAAGAAAAATTGTAATAAATTATTCAAATAAAAAGAGAAATTCAGAGGAAAATTCACACCATGACCTCAGAATGCAATTATAAGTGTAACCATCTTAATAGTGCGATAGTGTATAAATGTATTAGACTATAGAATGATGTAAAAAATGTTGTATGGCAAATGCATTTTTAGCTGATCTGGGACAAAATTTTCTGGGGGAGCATGCATGATCTCCCTGATAGTGTCCCCTAAAAGTGCCCTAGCTTTTTTGGCATCTGTATTTACCCTTAGGATCAGACCCTTGATGCATGCCATCTAAAATTAGATTTATGTTATATTTTAAGATTCTTAGTGAAATATTATTTCCAGTGAAATATTTTTTCCTGTGAAATATAGCATGACATCCAGTTTGACAACTTGTTAGTGTTACACAATTACAGTGTCCATGTGTCGATTTACTTGATTATTTACAGAAAATGTTCAATGTTCTCTTGCGGTCCCAGAAAGTAAAATATTTTTTCCACCCCTGGTGGTAATCTTATTTCTTTAAGCTTTTGCAGTTGACTTCATGCAATATGTAGCTTACTTTTCATCCCCCAATGCACTCGTTGTTGAAAATTAATAATACAGCATTGTTTAATAGTTTTCAGCTATCATTCAGATTTTCAAGGGTGGGGGATTGCCCTCCTCCCACCCCCTAGAGTCTGCCACTGTTGAGGAGGGTGTTGTGTTGGCAGCAACATCACCATCTGGAGTATAATTAAGGATTTGTGGAGGATTAGTAGCACAAACACTGTATAATGGTCCAAACAAGCCGGGAAAATATATTTCCCTGCAAGATGTATAGAAATTTCTTGCGATGATTTTTGGTTAACATTTCCTGGCAGCATTCCCACCTTCATTGTCACATGCCGGACAGGACTGGTACCAGGCTTTTAGCCAGAAGGGCGTCCTGGGACGCCCCTAGAACAAAACATGGACGACCAAATTCTGGGGAAAAAAGGAAATTATTTTCAATTATTTCCCTAGGTATATTAATTTAATATATCTGAAACGAAATAGCTTCAATTCTCATTATTATTATTATACATTTGACACTTTGATCAAGTTGATGGTGTACTGATATAACTGTGTAAACTTACTGTGTAAACTTCAAAGGTTTTCCAGAGGAACGTTTTCTCGACCCCCCCCCCCTTTACTGTAGATGTATTGTGCCAAAATTGGACGCCCTCTTTTAGGACCCTGGCTAAAAGCCTGACTGGTACCAAACTTCCTAAAGTATAGTGCCTCAGTTGGCAAGAGTGAATGTCAGTGGTAACTCTCAACTAAATCTCTTTGTATATATCTAACATTTTAAAAGTGATTTTTGTAATTACACATGTTTAGTCAATTGTTGATATCATACCTATAAGAGACTCTGGCTTAGGCTATTAGTCATAAATGGTAATTTTTTGTGATATATTTATTATTCAATAACCATACATGTAAATATGCAAGGCAATAAATTGCATAACAGACCACTTTCCCTGCTAAATGAGGTATGGAGTTTTTGTAAATTGTAAAAATGTGGTTAAATGTGAATTAAATTTAAAATAAATTGCTAGATGAAATCACATATATTTCCACTATCCTAGAATAAATTAAAAGTCCAACAGCAAAATTTAAGGACTTATAATCACTTCAATTTGCAAAACCAGTTGCATAGACAGAGGAAAATGTGATTTTATAGCTAGTACTAGTAACATCTAATCACATCATGACATCCATTTTCTCTTTTTTTGTCAATTTTAAAAAAAAAATGGTGCTGTTCAAGAACATAAAGCCTCCTCTTTCTAACCGTCAAATATAAATCATTTCAGTTCAGAAAATGGGAGCTTGGGAGCACTCCGAAATAGTTTGTAAACTGTAAAATATTATAAATAAAGTAATATGTAATATTTTACCTATTTCTAAACATACAAATGTTAACCTACCTTTTCTCAGTTTGAATAATACACCAAGCCGTAACAAAATTTGCATTTAGTTTTGTCTTTCGTTGTTGATTGAATTTCGTGTTTATAATATAAAATATTGATAATAGTTTAACTCCTTAAAATCCGCCATTTTGAAAGTTTTCATGTTACCCAACCCGTATGGGGTAACTTTTCCGTGGTACCTTTGCCCTGTAATTAGGGGTACATTTTACCCCGCCGTTTACCCTATTGGGGGTAGTTGGTGATGGTTTTACAACTACCCTTTCAACGTGGGGCAATATGACGATGCCAATTGAATTTTGCCCATATTTTGAGAGTAATTTTTACTCCAAATTAATTTACTACAGTCGAGGGGGTAAAATTTGCCCAGTTTTAGGGTAATTTTTACCCCTCAAAATTTACTGTGTGTCAACGCATTTCTTTGAATTTAAAACTCGAAGTTCGCCAATTTCTATCGGATTAACACAGACCACTTTGGCGGCGGTTTTGGTGGAAATACACGTCAAGACAATACCGATTAACAGAACAATATTTGACATCGTTATTTCCTTGGTTCTTGCGGGAAAATCCTGAAATGCGAGGAAGATATTTTAATTTCTTATACCAAAACACAAAGGGTAAACTTGTGACAGTCTCTGCATGCGTGCTAAGGTATATAATTAGTCTGTAGGGCCACTGTGGTGCCTACCGACTCAATTTTTGCTCTTTGGTAGACCACAAAGTGACGAATTAAGTCATTTTGTTTGGTAAAAATTACACAATTCTTATGAAATAAAGCCATGGAATAGCGTAAAATGTTCGATGTTGACTTGTAATCAATTTTTTGGTCCACTAAAAATACACTAAAATGTTATCATGACATTTCGATGTTATGTTATCGAGGAGGGAAGTGAATTCTTTGTGCATAATTTTATATATTTTGGTCTTTTGGATCTTAGGATCTACATAAATGATAAAGTAAACTTAAAGTCAGATATCCCTGCTTCTTTCGATGGTCTACATCCTATTCCTACTAAAAACCTTTGAAGGATTAAGGTTCATTGGGACAAAATACTGTATTACCAAAAACTGAAAAGGAGTAACTCAATTTCCTGATATCGTGCGGAGGTAACTTGGAAACTTTCTTGGCACGATACCATATATTATCCTTCCAGTTGACCACCTTTATACTGCATGCTGATAGTATAGATTAGTAGTATGACTAAAGCTGCAGCGTTATTGCTACATGGTTGTATAAACACAGGTCAATAATTAGTCACTTGGTAATCATGTGAAATGCCTCTCCTCTCACGACGCATTATTCTATTATAGGCTATATAGACAGAAGTTATAATGCCTCTAGTTTCGGGGTGAAGAATATTTTTGCCTTCCAGCCTTTGACGCATTAATAGCTAGCTAAGTTCAGTTTTAACTTGGCAAGATTGTAACTTAACACCAGCTGATATGTGTAATGACAACAGGATAAACGCTTACTTTAACACATACTATATACTGTACTGTATACTATATTACTATTAAAACCACATTGCTACATGGTTGTGCTTGTTTTAACTGTTAGCGCTAACTGCCAGGAAAACTTCAAGAATCAATATTTTCGTAAAAAAACACGCTCTTCTTTAGTGGTATACTTGTACTTAAAGTTGCATATTTCCATAGTCCCAGCGACTTATATTAACGCTCCGTGGAGCGTCTTGTTAAAATGTAAAATGATGTTTGTGAAGTAAACAACCAACAGAAGCAGATCTGCAGATGGTTTATTTGAATAATGTTAATATCAGATGACTTTAATATTATGGTCAAAAGCCGGCAACCGTTTGTAATACGTAGTGCAGACCGACTGTGAAAAAACTTCATTTGCATTCCCAATGCAAGTTATGTATGTGGCTGCCCTTTAAATTAAGCACTACAATTGGTCTTTCAACCATAAATTTTGAGACCGACCGCACAGATTTTAAGAGATTTTTTTTGAGGGATGAATCACTTCTAAATCCCAGTGATTTAAGCTTCTGGGGTTTCATCGCATCTACGCATATACTGTATGTTGACGTATCTGGGAAAGCAGAGAGACTCCATTATATATTTATAAATATATTGCAAAATTTCCTAATAGTTGTATATGTACGTATAACGTATATGATTTATATACATATTACTTATTTTAATTCGTAACTTATTGGGATTTAAGTTTTGATCAAAGTTAGATTAGCCGTTTGTGGGTGAACTATATGAAATCACGTCTGGAACATCGTACATCTGTAGTATTACCTAGTTTAACATATTACAATGTTAGGGTTTGTAATCCTGGTCAGGTCTTAAAATGTATATATACTAACTTGGATTACAAACCCTAACATTCTAATATTAATTCCACCAAGTGAAGTGCAAGAAACCAAATCATTGAAGTCCACCTTATCACAACCCGCACACCCGATTACCTATAATATATACATGAACTTACGGTTACAGCTCAACAGCTGGCCTCTGTAGCTCAGTTGGTTAGAGCGCTGCACCGGAATCGCAGGGCCGTAGGTTCAATTCCTACCAGAGGACCTTGTGCTCAGGGGCGGTGCTACAGGGGGTGGGGGGTCGTCAGCAAATCGGCAAATTGTTATCTCAGTCGGCAAAACTGGATTGGCTAAAGATGACCACTGAAGAAACAAAAATTGACTTCCTGAATAATTGAATTCAAACCGAATATCACGAATAGCATGCATCAAAGAAACCACACATGCAGCAATGCAAATTCTTTCGAATACAGTATCTTCACTTCTGTCAGTCCAAAAACATAATATTATTGAAATCATAATTAGGTAATTAAATTTGTTTGGTTGTCGTTGTCGTTGTCGTTGTCGTTGTTGTTCACTAGCAAATTTTCTCGTACGAAGCGACTTTTTTCCTTTGTCGGTATCACTTATTACGTCAGCAAGACGTGGCAAAATCAGTCCTCGAAAACGAGGTGCCGATTCGAAAACGCCGACCTAAATGTTGACCTAAATGCCGACCTAAATGCCGACCTAAATGCCGACCTAAATGCCGACCTAAATGCCGACCTATCAACCTCCAAGGTCGGCAAATTTTTGCCAACCTTAATTCAACCAAAGTAAGAATTTTTTTGGTGCTGATAGCTGTTAAAATGTCAGCGATTATAGAATTCAATTCGAAGTTCGATTAACTGAACACACTACGGTGTAAGGTTTAAAAATTGACGGGTATTGTGTATATACCTACGTTAGGCGTCTGAAGATCAAATTTCGCACGTCTGGAGTTAAAATTTGGCTTCAACTTTCGAATTTTCCGGCTGAAGGTAACGTTCCAGTTATATTCCGATTTCAATGATTCGTAAATGCTTGATCAATAGTGCTCCAAAAAGTGAAACAGATTTTAAGAAATGCCGAGACGTGCCGACCAAGGTCAGAATTAGGTCGGCCCTTTTTTGCCAACCTCAATTTTGACGGTTTTCGAGGGTGCAAAATGGATGCCGACAAAGGAAAAAGGTCGCCTTGCGCGGAGAAATTCGCTAGTGGAAAACCGGCTTAAGGTAATTCCGCAGTTTTGCATTGCGCACTCTTACTGCGCACATCTTATAACTTATAATTTCAACCATTATACGTACCGTTTAAAAAAAATTATTTGATGACAATTTTCTGTTACTTCAAAACATCTTTGGTTACATTCGTGCAAAGAATTACGTTAAAATCAATGTTTTCAAAAAAGGCATACAAAAGTGTAGCTAATGTTCCCTGTGTCTGTAGTATATTTATTTACTTGTATTTCAAGTTTTAATGCCACAATTCCCTAAAAAGATCGGTGGCCCCCGGAGCAATTTCCTCTTATGTTACCTACTTGAAGTTCTTTGTAGGAGTGTGCAAGATAGAATGTTTTTTGCTATCCAGCTACATACAGGATATATGCTGGATAGTTGAAAAATATCCAGCTAGATTCAGGGTATTATTAAAATATATAAATGTTTTTTCTAACCTGTAAAGAAGGCCTGAACTTAGCTAGCTGCAGCCGAGCTTCGCCCTATTCTTGATGTTACATGATGTTCTTGCTTTTCTTCTGCCCAGTCTCCAGCCAAATTACTGTATGTATATACTAAACTCTTTGGCTACTATAGAGACTGCTAACTACAGATTTTTAACTCATTTATTGACAGACCTCTACCTACTGATAAGTAAAATTGTCTGGCATTTATAGACGGTAAATACTAAAGTAGGTCTGTAATAGTCTCTGATGTTTCAGCACTTCTACACTTGTTCTCAATTTCTTTTACTAATTATATTTTATTTAGAGACTATTTATTGTTATTGTTATTGTATTTTAATTTCACATCCCTTAAAAGGCTTTTCAGCGAAATTTACATTAATTTACATTATATGTTTTAACTTTTTATTATCTATGTTTTAACTACTAGTATTTATAATATACAGTATTTTAAAAATATTTATAGGCTACATGTATTTGTATACACTATATTTAATAGCTATTTTAACTGTATTAACAGGACATATTTTTAACTATTTATTTAATATGTTATTACTATTTTTTAACTATTTTTAATCTATTTGGGCAATATTATATCCACTATTTATTATCTATTTTTAACAAGCTGGGATGTATTTTAACTATTTATTACCTATTTTTAAACTATATTATCACTATTTTTGAACTATTATCTATTTCTAAACTATATATTATCACTATTTTTGAACTATTTATTATCTATTTTTAAACTATATTATCACTATTTTTGAACTATTTATTATCTATTTTTAAA